TAAAAGCCACTATTAGAGCAACCTGGGCTATCATAACACCTGAGCAGTGCCACAGACTGATCGACTCCATGCCACGCCGCATTGCTGCAGTAATACAGGCCAAAGGAGGCCCAACTAAATACTGAGTGCTGTACATGCTCATACTTTTCATGTTCATACTTTTCAGTTGGCCAACATTTCTATAAATCCTTTGTTTTTATTGGTCTTCAGTAATATTCTAATTTTCTGATATGATGAATTTGAGATTTTCATTTGTTGTCATTTGTAATCATCAAAATTAAACAAAATAAACATCTGAAATATATGAGTTTGTATGTAATGTATGAATATAATATACAAGTTTCACTTTTTAAATGGAATTACTGAAATCAATCTACTTTTTCATGATATTCTAATTTTATGACCAGCACCTGTATTTTCATATGCTGATATCAAATTGATTTTTTAACGCTGTATCGATCTATTTTACTTTCAAAATCTCGTGAAATTTCATCGTTCTGTTACAAACTCTCGTGATATTTAGCAAATTCTTGTGAGATTTTGTTAGTAAAATAGATCGATACCGCGTCAATATATCAACATATAAAAATATGGCAAAATTTCGTGAATTTTCGGGGATTTCGTAGCATAACGATGACATATAGCAATATTTCATTAGTAAAAGAGATTGATATGGTGTTTTTAAATGGCAATATATCAGCATATGAAGATATTGGGATATTTTAATGGATCAATATTTTTTCCCTCGTCTTTAGAAGTTTTTAAGTCTGTAAAAAAGAAGTTTTTGAGGAAGAAGAAGAAGTAAAATTTTTTATTTTTTTTTTTTTTTTTTTTAGACTTTAGAAACTCAGAAGCTGATCAAATATCGGGTTAAATATCGGTGGGGTGGCCGATGTCCGATATTCAGTTTTAAGGCCGATACAGGCCGATACCGATAGGGGGACGATTATATCGTGCATCCCTAGTTTCAAATTTTGAAAACCTTCCCATACAGGAAGAAAGCTAAAAGCACACAAATGACAGATATATTTTAACAATTATTTAACTAAATTTACAAACTTTGTTTTAGATGGGAACAAAACAAATCAGTTTTAAAGCCACAATATAACCAGTGCTAAGTCTTTTTTTGCATCTATTTTTCTTTATATCGTTTTCTTAGTATGTTTGATTTGGTGATAAGTGGAGGCGTTGCAGAGACAAGGGTGGAACTAAACTGAGAAATACCGGCTGTTTCTCTGTAATAGAGACTGACACGGGAGTGGATTTTCACTCCTGTCCCGTCCCACTCCCACAGAAAAAAATTGTGTCCCATCCCGATCCCAGGCCAGAGAAGAAATCTAAATCCTGTCCCGTCCCACTCCTGGTGAAATTACTCCCACTCCCATCCCGCTCCCATTCAGAATGACTCCTGCTCCTGCACCACTCCCATTCTTGTTGTTTTTGAGCGCAGGTGAAAAACTCAGAGCGGAAGTTACTATTGGTTTGCTCCCGCTCCCGTCTGCTCCCGTTAATGTTTAATCCTGTACCATCCCAATCCCGCGATCGTTACTAATACTGACTCCCATCCCATGGGAATCCCGTGACCCATGGGATTCCCGAAAAAATGTCAGTCTCTACTCCGTAACTCGATTTTAACGCTTTATATCTCACATGTGCGACTCCACTGCCTTAATTCCCATCGTTCGAGCTTGAATGACTTCTTGCACAAAATACACTGAGCCTCATGTATGTTCCCTGGTTTTAGCCATGGAGAAAACTCTTGGCTGGATAGACAATTTTCTTTACATTTACACTTGCTCATATTTAACTCTTTGGCTAGCTGGTTGGACTCTACCTAATCAAACTCCTCCAAGTCCCATTGATATATTTTAATATAAAAAAAATGTTTAATACCAAACAAAAAGCATGTTTTTAACTAATTATTGAATTCATTCAGACACAAAAGCTAATCAAGCTAACCGTTGCCGCTTCTCAATCTGTGTACTTGTGCGTTCTCGTGTACTCCTGAAATGTCACCACAAAAAGTAAATGGCGCATCTCCCAAATGTCCCGACTGCAACAACGCTTTTATTGGTTCCGCTATCGGGACGGAACCAATAATGGCGAGCCGTTATTTTTTTTGTATAAAATTTTTTTTTGTCAATTTTAACATTTTATTTAGATTACAAAAATAAATCGTAAAAAAATAATCCTATTTATGATGTTTTAAAAATTAAGACCTACGAAAGACTGATTTAAGACATTTTAATACCAATTAAGGCCTTAGTTTTATTTTGAAGAATTCAATGCCTTTTAAGACTTTTTCAGGATCCGCAGGAACCCTGCACTATCTAAACATGAAACTTAATGAAAAACCACAGAGGAAATGACTGAACAACATTTATATTTAAAGCCAAATTAAATGTCATTAAATTACTGCTATGGAAAACCTTTTAATACATAATATTGCGGTAATTGAATATAAAACAGTTATCATCGAGTACAGGTACTGACTCCCTGATATCGGTACCATATCGGTTGAAAGGTGAAAGCAACCCGACACTATAAACGATAATAGCAGATATTTTTCTCAACACTACAAGACATAGAAGAGAGCGTATTTACAGCAGCTCTTTGATTGAAATTGGAGTTTTTAATGCAACAGATTTAAGATTATAGCTATTTAAGCAACAACGAACATTTCTTTAACATTTTAATGATTTTTTTTTTACCAAAATCAAACCTGAGCATCAAAGCGCATCATGTTGGTTGATTTTTTTAAACACAAAAAAAGGCAAAAATAGTAGCTGTGATTCATTAAAGGAGTTTTTTTTTTAATAAAAGTTGTTTTAAAACTAATGTGGTTTGGATTTCTGGCAGATTAATGGATCCATCGCTGCTTCGAGACACACTTTCATGTCGTGCTTCTGGGAAATAAAAGCTTAAATAAGCTTGGATTAAATGTCAGGCCTCTGGTGCTACTGGGTTAAAAAATGACCTGAAGGGGTATTAGACAATGAATTAAGCTAAAGAATCAGGCTAAATTCTTGGAAGAAATAAAAGATCATGCCCTTTAAATATTGGTTGTTGTTGATGGGTTATAGAGGGAGACGAACGCTTTCATCACATCCCAGCTGGGTCATATTAACGATTGATCCATTCTGCTGTTTCCTAGAACAGTTCCTTTAAATCTACTTTAAGTTTCCTAATAGGAGCCAGGACAAGATTTATTGCTATTGTGTAGAATTTTCAAGTATCTGTTAAACATATAAAAGAGTTAGATTGAAAATAAAAACAGAAGAGGATTTGAAATGTTTTCAAAGCTCCATCTGATAATAAAGGCAGATGAAGCCTCTTAAAGCCCTGAAGATTTCCATCCAATTTGCTGGAGTCGTGAGCCGAGGCTTCGAGATGCCCCCTTTCCACTATGGCGGCTCTTTAATGCCCCATGAAAAAGGAAAAAGATGGGATTTTTTTTTTTTTTATATATATATGATGTGCAGGAGTTCAAACAAAAATTCTTTATGTTTTCAAATGCTGTAAAAATGTGTATAATAAATTAATTCAAACAACAAATGCAAAAAGTTCTGTCAAACAAGATTTGCGTCATGCCTGCAGCACACGTTTTAGCATGGTGCGGTGCCAGGCAGGTGGCTGCTGGCATTTCCTGGAAAGGCAAGCTAAATATACAGCTGACCACCAAGCTGGGAGTGAGAGGACAAGTGTAATTGCAGGACTTCTGGATAATTTAGAAGAGAGTAAAAATGAAAAACAGGTCCAACAGGTAGCGCTCTGATGCAGGTATGTGAACTTTCTTCCATTCCCCCTCCATTTAAATAATGCAACAAAACCTGATACATTAATACTGCAATGGAATTTAAACTCAAAGCACCAAATATCGTTCATCAGAGTAGCCACATGATGTGACATTTGCTCCAGGATCAACATTTAAATATATATATATAATACATAAAATAATACATGAATGCTTATTATATATTTAAGCACATGTAGTACTTTTTTATAGAGGGCTAATAAACTCAGAGACCGTGTTGTCTTTCGAGGCTTATATTAGACTTTTACATTTTTTCGGCTCCAGACAGATTTGTTTGGTACAATATGGTTCTTTGAACAGTTCGGGTTGCCGGTTTTATCAGGTGGATGATAAATCTTACTTAAATACATAATTGAATTATGTGATGCCTAAAAAGAAATGTTGAATATGGTCTGAGTATGATATTAACGAAAAAGCTGTGCCACGCTGGAGAAAGCGCAACAAGGAAGATGGCAACAACTGCTGAACAGTTCTCCTTTGACTCAGCTTTGGAAGGATTAGACTTGGGGTTTTGTTTAAATCTTAGCAGTAAAAGGCTCTACGCTCATTCATTTTTACCGACAGGCTGTTTTTTTCCACTCCCCCACCTTCCTGTCGCGCTCACTACGTCACAGTCAGTTGCGCTGATTGGTCAGAGCGTTGGCAAAAAGGCACAGAGAGCAGTTTAAAAAAAAAACGTGTTGTTCTCATCAACAAGCTTCTGATGTGTCATTGATCGGGGCCAGACTAAATTACACATTTAATCTAACTTTTAGAGTGAGACTATCACCTCCAGATGTCTCTATTACTGAGAGCAGTAATAGAGGCTCTAAAGCCGCCAGTTAGCTTAGCAGCAAAACAGACAGAAGCTAGCAGTATTCTTTTTTTTTCTAAATAAAGTGTGTTTTTAACATTTCATGTTATATGAGTTTGTTTTAAATGCATATAAATAAATTTAAAAATGTAAAGCATGTTTCATCATATGCTTTGCATTCAATTCAGTTTATTTATATAGCGCCAATTCACAACACATGTCATCTCAAGGCACTTTACAATTCAACCCGATTGAATTTTAGCAGGAATATTGTTTTAACATATTGCTTTATTCTTTCTGAAGGCGTGGCTGTTTTTATTTTGTGCCCCGATCGATTACACGTAGAGGAAACTTTGCAACTATTTATAAAAAAAAAAGGCTAAGAAAACTCACCCTAAATGTCTGTCTGGCGTCATGTTGTAGTCTCCCTAAAATAGGGGAGAGAAATTATGAAGTCATTGCACACACCCACTGTGACACAGTCCCAACTTGTTTCCACTCACCGTGTAGACAACAGACTCTGATCCCACTTTGATGTGCACCATAGCAGCTCCCAGGACGTGGCCTGCATAGTAAGCCTTGATCTCCAGCTCATCGTCCACCTGCCGGGAGCACAACAGAAACAGCTTGGTTTGCCATCAAAAAGGCCGAGCAGCTGGCGCAGAAAAAGGCGGGATTAGATAAAGTTGTGTGGCAGAATACATCCGAAAATAAACAGACTTTTAGCACAGGACCTGGACAGTTTGATGGAGGTTCAAAGGAATCACTTTCTTCATGCAGTCCTTGATCATTTGTGAAGTAAAGAAGTTGGTTTCTCCTTTCTTGTCCACAGTGATTTTCCGGAAATCTTCCAGTAAAATGGGACAAATGGCCTTGGTGGGATGGGTCATGTAGATGGGTCCGTCGTAGCCCACCATCTCGCTCATGTAAGGTAGGGCGCCGCAGTGGTCCAGGTGGAAGTGACTTAACGTCGGAACAGGAGGAGATAAAGAAAAGGTTGAAAAAAAGATTAGTGCAACGAGGGTTTGAAGAATGAAGAACTATTGGAGAACTTGACAAACCTGATGATCACGCAGTCCAAGAAGTCCGTCAGACGTCCGTTCTGCGTTATATAGGAAAAGTCTGGGAAACGCCTCTGCAATGAGAAAACGGACTTATTGTCAATATAACAGTTTTACTTTGTGTATGTGCAAACATTAAAAAATATATATTTTACAGATAAGAGAACAATGATGAATTTTGAGTAATACCAATTTGTTTTAATAATTTACTGACAAGACATCTTCAATATTTAAACCTTATCTTACCGCAAAATATTGAGCACTCATGAGATAACAAAAACATTTCAAATAATTGTCCTAAAATATAAAAGCAGTTTCTACAGCCTTGATAGTGGGTGCTTTTCAGACCTTTTTGGAGCCAAATAAGATCTGTGGAAAAGACCGGGTTTATATCCAAGTATCGGCTGATTTTCCAAATGCTGTGACCATTTTTTCTATAATCTTATTGCTGCTGTAAACACAGGCATTTCCCTATTGTGGGACAATAAAGGGATTTTCTACTCAATTCTGTTCAAATTTAATGAAATCAAGGCTGACTGATCAGCTGAACAATTATTCAGTCACGGTAAAAAGCAGTACAATAAATTTCTATAATTTGGCTTTGGAAGCAGCTTGAAGCCTTGGTGGTTGCTCTAAGTCATTAGTTTTTGCAGCCATCCCTTGTTAGCTCCGTAAAAGTTTCAAAACAGTCCACTGGACTTGGTTTCCAAGGATTGAAGACGTTTCGCTTCCCCTCAAGGAAGCTTTCTCAATTCAAATTCAGACATTTGATTTGAGAAAGCTTCCTGGAGGGGAAGTGAAACATCTTCAAACATTGGAAACCAAGTCCAGTGGACTGTTTTGAAACTTTTACGGAATACTATGACCTGGATAACTGAGAATCTTCATCAGTATCCCTTGTTAAATCAGTCATGAAGAAAGTTTAGATAAAAAGGAATAACTAATCTTGCTAGCTGCTTAGTCTTCATATTAGAAAGGGTGTCTGCCTTGGGGACTAAAACTGCAAATAAGCACATTTCACAGAGGAGAGTGGCAACAAAAAGATCTGCCTCCCTCCATAAATCTGCAGTCTGGAATCTAAGTTGTGCATCATAAAGATGAGACAATAATATGTCTGACTTAAAGGATTTTTATTTCCTTTAAGTCCTCTATTGAATGTTTTGGTTCACTTACATCGTCGTTGTATCCCATGTGCATCCCACAGTCCAGCATGATGTTTTTGCCTCCAATGGAGACGAGGATGCAGCTGCGACCGACATCCTGTCCAGCACCTTTGATAGAAAACACAACAACTGAGGAGCTGCAAACACAAATCTGAGCCACTTCAGTCACCAAATAGGTGACAAAGCTTCAAAACATTTTTTCCCTTATAAAATACTGAACCTTTGGTGCTGGGAGAGGGTGAGACACACGCCCCTGATCCAAATCTGTCAACATGTAATGTTGACAGAACTAGCTTAGCTTCGGGCTAACAGGCTGCAGTACTCACCTAAGGGAGTTACTTTTATTTCAGGCATTCTTTTGTCACCTGCCCGCTGCTGGACTCAGTAGGAAGGATAATTCAAATAATATCTTATAAGAATTTATTTACGGCAAACAATACTCTATAAAATCGGAATGAAACCGCTGCATGGTATTGTTTCAGACATTCAGAAGCATTAAGCTAGGCGGCTAACATTACTCTTCCGATGAACGCTATCAAAATAAAAGCCGCGAGCAATAAAGCTAATAAAGAGTCTTCATTTTTAGGATGAAAACTAAATTAAACTGAACGAAACACCTGGTTGAACTTTACCATTTTGTACTTTTAACCTATTATGTCTGAAAGAAAATCATCAATCCACTTTACGCGAGTTTTATCAATTCAAATAGCTTTTATTTTGAAAGCATCCCCGCGATTTCCGGAGTTGTTCCCGGTTGGAGTCTGCGCAGTAGGAGTGGATTAGAACAGGTATCACCTGCAATGAATTGTTTCCACTTCACTTTGAGTTTTTCTCTGTCGGGTTGATGTGTTCACTTTTTGATCCTGTAGCCCCACGTCCGAATCTTTCCCCAGCTTTTGGTTTCTTTTAAACAGATCTTTGTCATTCGCTTGGTTCGTTTTGTTGACAATACTTCCTGTTTGAGAAAATCCATTATGGCAGGTTCAGAGAGCCAGAAATTCAGTCTACAGCAGGTCCTGGACAGTTTCAAACTGTGTCTGTCGCCACACAAAGACGTGTACCTCGAACACTACGTCTCTGGATGGAGAGGTCTTGTAAAGTAAGTGATACATCGTTAGATTCTTTTTTGTTCCATAGCAATGGATTAGGGGTACGTAAAAATAAGAGATATAAGAATATGTACAACGACGCTAAAAGGGGATTTTCTCTAGAATAATGGAAATAAATTACAATGTCAAAATCTGGATTAATTAAAGTGTTTCGGTTGGCTCCAAATCAAACATTCAGATCTTGAGGTTTGGAGGTAACCTGTTGTTCAGGTTGGGTCACTAACGTGGTCATGACCATCTATGGCAGGCCATTTTGACATTTATTAGCTTGCCTGAATATGTTTTCCAGATTTCTCAAATGCATTTCCTCCTTGCCGAAATGAACTTTTCAGATATCTGCAATGTAATTCACGTTTCCCATTCATGCATATTGGACTTTTACTTCCAGATATCTAAATAACATTCTTCTAATCTAAAATAAACATACTTTCTATCTAAAATGAATTCTGTCTAGGATGAATTCTAATTTCAGATCTCAATAATAGAGTTACTGCTTGTCATAATTACGATCTCGGATATCAAAGATGAATATAACATTACAGATATCCAGAAATCCAATTCTTAGCATCTAAAACATATTTCTGCTAGTAGAAATATAATTACAGATATGAACTATTGATATATGACTAGTTAAATTAGAATTCCAGATATCTCAATTTTAATAATGCCTATCTAAAACTTAGTTTTAGATACTTTCGAAAGAAAGGCTGCATTTTAACATAAAATATGCAGGCTGACTAGTCACAATTCTAATATAGATGGCACTAAAGCATTCTACCTAGTGACAATTACAATATTCCTAGTCAGAATTGTATTTTAAATATCACAAATTAAATTTTTACCTCTAGAAATTCGATTTTAAGTGCTCTGGAATTAAATTAATACTAGTAAGAACTACATTTCAGATATCTACAAATCTTATTTTAGGTGGCCGTTTTTAACATATATTTGTTTCTATTTCAGATATCTTTAATAGTATTCCTCCTACATAAAGGAACATTTCAGATATCTGAAATGTAATTCTTACTAGGACAAATGACATCACTTTTCCCCATTCATGTGTATTGGGCCGTTACTTTCAGATATCCAAAATTACATTACCCCTAACTAAAATAAACATTCTGGATGTCTAAAAATGAATTTCAGATCTCTATAATCTAATTGTTACTGGTCATAATTTTGATTTCAGCTATCTTCTGCCTCTTAGACACTTTGCACAATCTGAGGTTCTGCTGGAGGCAATTGCTTCACATAGGGATAATCATAAATGCTGGATCCCATTTTCTGTGGGGAAGGAAATCCAGCACTTGTCACCCTTTTGAGATCCTTAAACTGAGATCCTAGTTTAAGGGTGTGGTTTGTTTTACTTATGTTTCTATCATTATTTGCTTTTATTCTCCTTTTATTTTTCTATTTTCTTATCTAGTTCATGTAAATCTATTTGAATTGTCCATGCGCTGAATTATTGCCTAATTTGAACTTATTGCAACTATGAAGATTTTTTTCTTTGTTATTAAAAACTGAATCTTATGTATTAAAAGGGTTCATTACAATAACAGGGACATATTTCCTGTGTTGATTTTGCTTTGTTAATTTGGGTGATTGTGGCTAAAAGATCATTAAAACATTAAAATAAAATATATATTAAAATAAAAACATACAGAAAACCAATTAATGGCTTTTTAATACTATAAATATACAGTCACTGACAGTCCCCAGTTTAAAGTGTGGGATCCAAGCATAATTATGGAAAGTTAAGTGGAAGGAAAAATGTGGTGTTATAAAGAACAAAGGCAATAATAATAATGACTCCGCCTTGAAAAAGGATGTTAAAGCAACAGTGATTCAAGTGTTTGTTGATTTATAAGCCGAGTGCTGCAGCAACACAGATTAAGCGTTTCATTCTTTTAATGAAGCCACTCCTAAACAGGTGCATCAGAAGAGTCTCAGGGATATTTCCAGAGACTCAGGACAGTGTGAGGAAACATTGACAAGTTGTTTGATCTCCAGATGTGTGGATTTGGCGAGCCACTGTGTCTGTACTCAGCACAGCCATTTTTCAGACAATAGATCTTCAATCTTTTATTATGAAAGGGCCGATGTCATTTTCCAGCAGGATTCGGCCACCTGCACACACTGCCAAATGTAAAAACACCTGGTTTTAATGAGAATGGTTGTATCTGTTTAACTGGATTTGAAACTGGTTTGACTTGTAGCCCTCTGAGATTCTGTGGAGTGTCGCAAAGTGGAAGATACAGGTGCTGGTCATAAAATTAGAATATCATGAAAAAGTAGATTGATTTCAGTAATTCCATTTAAAAAGTGAAACTTGTATATTATATTCATACATTACATACAAACTCATATATTTCAGATGTTTATTTTGTTTAATTTTGATGATTACAAATGACAACAAATGAAAATCTCAAATTCATCATATCAGAAAATTAGAATATTGTGAAAAGGTTCAAAATTGATGGCCCCTGGTGCCACACTCTAATCAGCTAATTAACTCAAACCACCTGCAAAAGCCTTTAAATGGTCTTTCAGTCTAGTTCTATAGGCTACACAATCATGGGGAAGACTGCTGACTTGACAGTTGTCCAAAAGACGACCATCGACACCTTGCACAAGGAGGGCAAGACACAAAAGGTCATCGCTAAAGAGGCTGGCTGTTCACAGAGCTCAGTGTCCAAGCACATTAATAGAGAGGCGAAGGGAAGGAAAAGATGTGGTCGAAAAAAGTGTACAAGCAAGAGAGATAACCGCACCCTGGAGAGGATTGTGAAACAAAACCCATTCAAAAATGTGGGGGAGATTCACAAAGAGTGGACTGCAGCTGGAGTGAGTGCTGCAAGAACCACCACACACAGACGTATGAAAGACATGGGTTTCTGCTGTCGCATTCCTTGTGTCAAGCCACTCTTGAACCACAGACAGCGTCAGAAGCGTCTTGCCTGGGCTAAAGAGAAACAGGACTGGACTGCTGGTGAGTGGTCCAAAGTCATGTTCTCTGATGAAAGTAAATTTTGCATTTCCTTTGGAAATCAAGGTCCCAGAGTCTGGAGGAAAAGAAGAGAGGCACTTCATCCACGTTGCTTGAAGTCCAGTGTAAAGTTTCCACAGTCAGTGATGGTTTGGGGTGCCATGTCATCTGCTGGTGTTGGTCCATTGTGTTTTCTGAGGTCCAGGGTCAACGCAGCCACATACCAGGAAGTTTTAGAGCACTTCATGCTTCCTGCAGCTGACCAACTTTTTGGAGATGCAGATTTCATTTTCCAACAGGACTTGGCACCTGCACACAGTGCCAAAGCTACCAGTACCTGGTTGAAGGACCATGGTATCCCTGTTCTTAATTGGCCAGCAAACTCTCCTGACCTTAACCCCATAGAAAATCTATGGGGTATTGTGAAGAAGAAGATGCAATACACCAGACCCAACAATTCAGAAGAGCTAAAAGCCACTATTAGAGCAACCTGGGCTATCATAACACCTGAGCAGTGCCACAGACTGATCGACTCCATGCCACGCCGCATTGCTGCAGTAATACAGGCCAAAGGAGGCCCAACTAAATACTGAGTGCTGTACATGCTCATACTTTTCATGTTCATACTTTTCAGTTGGCCAACATTTCTATAAATCCTTTGTTTTTATTGGTCTTCAGTAATATTCTAATTTTCTGATATGATGAATTTGAGATTTTCATTTGTTGTCATTTGTAATCATCAAAATTAAACAAAATAAACATCTGAAATATATGAGTTTGTATGTAATGTATGAATATAATATACAAGTTTCACTTTTTAAATGGAATTACTGAAATCAATCTACTTTTTCATGATATTCTAATTTTATGACCAGCACCTGTAAGAGAAACTGGATCCAACAAGGCAGATGAGCTGAAGGCCTGACACTGAGATGCTGACTGCAATTACGTTACAGAGCATGGAAATACTTTCAGCTGACTCTCTGACCTCTGTTGTTTCATATATCGTTTGTTGATCTTATGAATTGTTGTGATCAGGGAAGATAAATTTGAAGTTTTATTTAGCTGTAGTTGATCCTTTTAAAGGATTTTCTAATCACTTTTTAATTTCCTTTGCTAGGCAGTGTGTTTTTTATTGTTTAACTGGCACTGTCAGCCATGACACCCACTGTTATCACTAATTTAGCTGCATATTGCTGAGGACTCCAAAATGGTCTTACTGGTACAGAAGTTCCTTAAATGTTATTGATTATGACAACTGCTTGCTCCAAAATCTAAAGTTGTTTTTGGGGTACAATTTGTAAGTTTTTTGTAAAAAAAATATTTAACTTTCTTGAAAAGCAGACAGAAACAAATAAAATGAGCATTAAAGAGTAAATACTGCAGGCAGGCAAAGCCTGGAAGAGTCTTGAAATTCCTTGTATGCATGGTCTGATTATGTTTTTGAGCTCGACTGTGAACAGGAACTTTAAAATGCTCACAGGCCACGTCTGTTTATCTTGTCAACAGGTTTCTGAACAGTTTGGGAAGCATTTTCGGTTTCATCTCCAAAGATGCTGTCAGCAAGATCCAGATCCTGGTGAACTTCATGAAAGGTGAGAGCGGCTCCGAGTACGTCACCGTGCAGTCCATGGTCAAGTACGAGTTGAACAATCAACTGGTGGACGTGGACAAGAAGGGCATCTATCCTGAGTCCGGCTGCCGCACTCTGCTGAGGCTCCACCGTGCTCTGAGGTGGCTCGAGCTCTTCCTGGACCGCCTGCGAACAAGCAGCGAGAACGACAAGACTTCAGTCATGTGCAGGGAGGCCTACAACGAGTCCCTGGCCAATCATCACCCGTTTATGATCCGGAAGGCAGCGGGCATGGCTTTTCTCGCCATTCCCGGACGTGCAGCTTTCTTTGATGTGATGAACGTTGGCCCCCCTGAGCGGGTGGTGGCAGTGCTGGGGGAGGCTTTGCCTCTCATTTCTGAAGTGTACCAGATCACAGAGGAACTCTATACAAAACACAACCTACATGATCTACCATAGACGTGCATAGGCTCTCCTTTGGATAGATTATACCTGTCTGTAAATAGTCCCTGCTGGGAAGCTGTGGAAAATGCTGCTACTATATGATAATCCCAGCATTTGAACTATATCTATAATTTATGACACTGATTGTAATCCTGTATGTTACAGTTTTAGGTATAATGTTGCATGTTTATCTTTGACTCATTATCCTGTAACTTAAAGCAATACCTTTACAGTTCCACAGGTGTTATTAGTTCAAATAAAAAGCAGGAGGTATTTGATTAATCCTATTATTTATGAAAGGGAACCATATATATATATATATATATATATAAATATTTTTTTTTTCATTGTAATTTTAGAAGGTATAAGCAACAGCCTGTATAGAACCAAGTCATATTGTTATGCTTGCATGCAAAGAATGTTGTCAGTCGTTTAGTTGCTTAATATTTCTATTTATATATTCATGTTGTAAATGGAAGAAAAGCATTACTTTTAAATTCATTTCCATAAAGCCTGCATTAAGATTTCAAAGTCGACTTTGTAAATTAGATACCAAATATAAATAACCTTGTTAAATAAAGTAACTGATTTAACATCTTGCATTTAAAATGTAGTTTTTCCTTAAATATATATATATATATATATTTATCTAGCACCTTCCAATCTTAAAGAATTTAAATCCACTTTCAGAGGTCACTATTTTTTTTTATACAATATTATTTCTTACAGTCCTTATGTTTAATTTAGCTGCTGCCTCTGCATTCACCTCGGTTTCTGCATCACTTTTGCTGCCGTTTCCTGTGTGTTGCTCTTCCACTTTATATAAATGGAAAGAAATTAAATCACTTTGAATGGAGAATGTCTAAGAACATATAAATTCAAGGTGTTTCCACTAATTTATTATGTTTTTATAGAATCCAGGGCTGAACTTTAAAGACTTATGTTTGATTCAAACCAATCCCTTGCAGCCCTTTGTTTTTATTTACCATCAATGGCGGTTCTAGACTAAATTTAGAGAGTGCAGAGATTTTTATTTATTTTTTCTTAATGGGGAAAAAACAAAAGAACACAAAAAAAAGACCAAAGAGTGCTTTTTTTTTTTAGTTTAACTGAACTACAAACATGTAATTTCTTAATTGTTCGAGTAAATTGTAAACACAAAATATTACATTCGTCTAAAGGACAAATTGGTTACAGGCTTATCAGCATTAGAAACTGTATGACATTGCAAAAATTCAATTCAATTCAGTTTATTTATATAGCGCCAAATTCACAACACATGTCATCTCAAGGCACTTTACAGTTCAACCAGATCATACAGTCAAATTGATACAAAGTTTTCTGTCTAAGGAAAACCAGTTGATTGCATTGACTCATTGACTCAAATACAATCCCTCACACTAAGCATGCTTGTAGCGACAGTGGAGAGGAAAAACTCCCTTTTAACAGGAAGAAACCTCCAGCAGAACCAGGCTCAGTGTGAGCGGCCATCTGCCGAGGCCGACTGGGGTTCAAGGAGACGGAAGCAGAGACACAAAAAGCAGCTGTAAAAGCCGGCCCCATCCAGGAAACACACAGCCAGGCAGACGAGCTCCGAGCCAGCTCCCATTCCAGAGGACGAAGAGAGCACATCCACTCAGTCACGGTCAGAGAAACAGAACCACACTGGAAAACAGGCCGATCTCCAACATCTACAGGTGCTGGTCATAAAATTAGAATATCATGAAAAAGTAGATTGATTTCAGTAATTCCATTTAAAAAGTGAAACTTGTATATTATATTCATACATTACATACAAACTCATATATTTCAGATGTTTATTTTGTTTAATTTTGATGATTACAAATGACAACAAATGAAAATCTCAAATTCATCATATCAGAAAATTAGAATATTACTGAAGACCAATAAAAACAAAGGATTTATAGAAATGTTGGCCAACTGAAAAGTATGAACATGAAAAGTATGAGCATGTACAGCACTCAGTATTTAGTTGGGCCTCCTTTGGCCTGTATTACTGCAGCAATGCGGCGTGGCATGGAGTCGATCAGTCTGTGGCACTGCTCAGGTGTTATGATAGCCCAGGTTGCTCTAATAGTGGCTTTTAGCTCTTCTGAATTGTTGGGTCTGGTGTATTGCATCTTCTTCTTCACAATACCCCATAGATTTTCTATGGGGTTAAGGTCAGGAGAGTTTGCTGGCCAATTAAGAACAGGGATACCATGGTCCTTCAACCAGGTACTGGTAGCTTTGGCACTGTGTGCAGGTGCCAAGTCCTGTTGGAAAATGAAATCTGCATCTCCAAAAAGTTGGTCAGCTGCAGGAAGCATGAAGTGCTCTAAAACTTCCTGGTATGTGGCTGCGTTGACCCTGGACCTCAGAAAACACAATGGACCAACACCAGCAGATGACATGGCACCCCAAACCATCACTGACTGTGGAAACTTTACACTGGACTTCAAGCAACGTGGATGAAGTGCCTCTCTTCTTTTCCTCCAGACTCTGGGACCTTGATTTCCAAAGGAAATGCAAAATTTACTTTCATCAGAGAACATGACTTTGGACCACTCACCAGCAGTCCAGTCCTGTTTCTCTTTAGCCCAGGCAAGACGCTTCTGACGCTGTCTGTGGTTCAAGAGTGGCTTGACACAAGGAATGCGACAGCAGAAACCCATGTCTTTCATACGTCTGTGTGTGGTGGTTCTTGAAGCACTCACTCCAGCTGCAGTCCACTCTTTGTGAATCTCCCCCACATTTTTGAATGGGTTTTGTTTCACAATCCTCTCCAGGGTGCGGTTATCTCTCTTGCTTGTACACTTTTTTCGACCACATCTTTTCCTTCCCTTCGCCTCTCTATTAATGTGCTTGGACACTGAGCTCTGTGAACAGCCAGCCTCTTTAGCGATGACCTTTTGTGTCTTGCCCTCCTTGTGCAAGGTGTCGATGGTCGTCTTTTGGACAACTGTCAAGTCAGCAGTCTTCCCCATGATTGTGTAGCCTATAGAACTAGACTGAAAGACCATTTAAAGGCTTTTGCAGGTGGTTTGAGTTAATTAGCTGATTAGAGTGTGGCACCAGGGGCCATCAATTTTGAACCTTTTCACAATATTCTAATTTTCTGATATGATGAATTTGAGATTTTCATTTGTTGTCATTTGTAATCATCAAAATTAAACAAAATAAACATCTGAAATATATGAGTTTGTATGTAATGTATGAATATAATATACAAGTTTCACTTTTTAAATGGAATTACTGAAATCAATCTACTTTTTCATGATATTCTAATTTTATGACCAGCACCTGTATAAACAAGGGTGTTGATGGAAGCAGCACAGCTGATGTTTCTTTCCAGGATGACGTCACAGCCAAACAGGAACAGACGAGGCAAAGCTACTCTGAGGAAAAGCAGAGAGAGCAGAAGGTTAGAGATTGAACTAACAGATTCTGCAGAATAGGAGAACAGAGAGAGAATGAAGCAGAATGATGAAATGGGCGTCCCTATGCCCTCCAAAAGTCTAAGCCTATAGCAGCATAACTATAGAGATAGCTCAGGATAACCTGAGCCACTCTAACTATAAGCTTTATCAAAAAGGAAAGTTTTAAGCCTAGCCTTAAAAGTAGACAGGGTGTCTGCCTCACAGAATAAAACTGGTAGTTGGTTCCACAGGAGAGGAGCCTGATGACTAAAAGATCTGCCTCAAATTCTACTTTTAGAAATTCTAGGAACCACTAGTAAACCTGCAGATTGAGAGCGAAGTGCTCTGTTAGGAACATAAGGAACAATCAGATCTCTGATATAAGATGGAGCTTGACCATTTAAGGCTTTATATGTGAGAAGGAGGATTTTAAATTCTATTCTTGATTTAACAGGAAGCCAATGAAGAGAAGCCAGGATAGGAGAGATATGATCTCTCTTTTTAATTTTCATTAGAACTCTGGCTGCAGCATTTTGGATCAGCTGAAGGCTTTTAACTACAGTTTGTGGACTTCCTGATAGTAAAGAATTACAATAGTCCAGCCTTGAAGTAACAAATGCATGGACTAGTTTCTCAGCATCAACCCTGGACAGGAGATTTCTAATTTTTGCAATGTTCCTCAGATGAAAGAAGGATATTATAGAAACCTCTTTGATATGGGATTTAAATGACAGGTCCTGATCAAAAATAACACCAAGATTTTTTACTTTATTATCTGAAATCAGTTTAATCCCATCCAAATGAAGTGACTGGCTAATCAGCTTCTTTTTCAGAGACTCTGGTCCAAAGACTATAACTTCTGTTTTGTCTGCATTCAGAAGCAGAAAGTTAAGAGTCATCCAGGTTTTTATGTCTTCAAGACATGCCTGTAATCTATGTAATGGGTTAGCTTCATCTGGATTTATTGACAGATATAGCTGGGTATCATCAGCATAACAGTGGAAATTAATCCCATGCTGTCTAATAACTCTACCAATTGGGAGCATGTATAAAGTAAAGAGAATTGGTCCTAGCACTGATCCCTGTGGTACTCCACAGGTAACCTGTGAGCATGTGGAAGATTTGTCATTAACATGAACAAACTGAATTCGATCAGATAGATAAGATTTAAACCAGTCTAGTGCTGTTCCTTTAATTCCAACAAAATATTCAAGTCTTTTTAAAAGAATATTATGGTCAACTGTATCAAATGCAGCACTAAGATCTAACAGGACGAGCACAGATACAAGTCCATTATCTGAGGCCATGAGAATATCATTAGTGACTTTCACCAGAGCTGTTTCAGTGCTATGATGAGCTCTAAAGCCAGACTGAAACTCTTCAAAAAGTTCATTATGGTGTAAGTGATCGCAAACTTGTTTGGCAACTACTTTCTCAAGAATTTTGGATAAGAAAGGAAGATTGGATATAGGTCTATAATTAACCAAGTCATCTGGGTCAAGAGACGGTTTCTTAAGCAGAGGTTTAATTACAGCAACCTTAAAAGCTTTAGGTACATATCCCTGTAACAGAGATAGATTAATCACATCTAAAATGGAGGAGGAGATCAAAGGGAATACCTCCTTAAATAACCTGGTTGGAACTGGATCTAACATACAAGTTGAAGGCTTAGATGAAGACAATAATTTTGCTAATTCAGAAAGTTCAACTGGATCAAAGCAGTCTAAACCCGGTTCAGATTCCATGACTACCTCAGGTACAATCGCGGATAGAGGAGTGCTTATGATCTTATTTTTAATAAGATCAATCTTATTTTTAATAAGATCAATCTTATTTATAAAGAATCCCATAAAATCATTGCTGCTAAGAGCAGGTGGAATGGACGGTTCAACAGAGCTATG